AAAAAGCAACATGATAAACAAACTTTCATTTGTGTATGGCCAATGGCCATGCCACATAAAAAAAACATTACGTAACACTTTTTTTATGTAGTTTGAATTTCAAATGACCTTTTCCTCGATAATTAATTGAAAATGCAATAAAAAGCAAATATTATATTGTTTGGCAAATTTTCGAACAACAGTTCATTCTCAAGCCACATGAAACAATTGACAACGAAGTTTTATAACTGCCGCCAAGCCTCATGGCGGCAGTTATAATTATATATGGACTTTAACTAATTATATATGGCAGTTATAATTATATATGGACTCACGGTGAGCAGACGCTCAAAGACTTCCTCACCTACCTCAACTCCCTACATCCATCGGTAAAGTTCACTTTAGACTACTCTGACAAAGAAAAAGGGGTGTCATTTCTAGACACGTTGGTGACGGTTGAAGAAAAGGATGAGGTCACAAAAATTGAGACAGAGCTCTACATCAAGCCCATGAACTCGGGCATTATTCTTCATTTCGATTCTGCACACCCAAAGTCGACCAAACTCAACGTGGCTAGAAATCAATTTAAACGGGCTATCAGGAATTCATCAAACAACATGAAGGAGAGGAAAAGTGTAGAAAAGATAAGGCAATTACTCTTAAAGAATGGCTACCCAAACTATGTCCTGAACAGGTTGCTCAGAGAGGCTAGGGGGAACAAGACTCAGTCGAGAACTAGAAGAGACAGGACCCAAGAACCGTGTGATGGGTTCCTTACACTTCCTTATGTAGATGAAAGACTCCTGTGCGAAGTCAAGAGGAAAGTGAGACAATCAGGCCTCAATGTAAAGTTAGCATGGAAAAATTCACAAAAACTAAAAGATAAACTGGTGAGATCAGCACTGTGTAAGCCCATATGCCCAGGAGGTCAAAGATGTCACACATGCAGCTCGGGGTTCTCTGGGGACTGCACACAGAAAAACTTAGTCTATGAGATTACATGTACTGTCTGTGAAAGCAATGGAGAGACCGTAACATACGTAGGCGAGACGAAGCGCCCGGTGCGCTTACGATTCAATGAACACCTGAGGGACGCGCTCAACAAAACACGCGACACGCCCATGGGCGATCATTTTCAGGAGTGTCACTCCACCCACGAAGGAGGCACACCTCTCAAAGTACGCATTTTGTATAAGTCGAAAGATCACCCCGATAGGAAAATCGCGGAATCTCTCCTTATCCAAAAGAAGCACCCAAAGCTCAACTCCAATATGTCTTCATGGCCCATACTATAGAATGATAGTCGTTTGTTTTCATTATCCACTGGCTGTCATTGTATAATATATATTTAATCGGACCGCCTCCTCGATATACCAGGTATTATTCGGTGTGCCTAGCCAAGGGTGTTTTAAATAATGCCCGAACGGAGTGAGGGCATTATTTTTTCTAAAATATTAACCGAACGAAGTGAGGTTAATATTTTCAAAAATAACACGAATGAAATGAGTGTTATTTTTGTATTTAATGCACGAGCCTGCGAGTGCATTAAATATAAACACTCTTGGCAAGGCACACCGAATAATGCCTGGTGTACCGAGGAGGCGGTCCGATTACATTTATTATAACGACTTTGCGCCGTTCGTTGCTCAGCTCGTCTGTTTAAAAGGGCTACATTGAGGGATTGGGAAAAGAAACGGGGCTTGGTTTTGTTTTCGGGGAACATTTGTTAATAACGAAGTGTGTACTAATTAATCAAGTTAATAGCGCCAATTAGGAAATGCAATAGTGGAATAAGTGGACTGTGCAATGTCTCGGTCAGTCTCTTATATTCATATACAGGCCCTCTTGCAGCACTGGTAAAGATAAAAGAACTTATGCACCCAGGGCCGCCTTCTGTGAGAACCTTATACTGAAAACGCGTCTTTACAAGCTCTGATCTATTCCATCATCTCTGTATCATGTGTGCCTAGGTATACTTATTAGACACTTGGCCTGCGCTGCTCCTATCACGATAAGTGGCTACAGCCCATTCTGGGTCTTCCTTGTGTTGGTTGGAACACCTTCTGCTTCTCTGTTTGCCAGCTCTTGGGAGAGCAAACTGCAGTTTTTTTTTCTCGCTGTCTGTACCATTCGTATCCATTTTCTGCATTATGAGCATCACCTTTGAGTGATCGGACAAAGCAGTGGGCCTATCAGATTAAAAAAAATAAGAAGGCGTCTCAAAGCTCTCTCTGAATTTGATTTAGCTCTGTGTTGCCTTCGGTGCACTTAACATTCAATCTCATCTCAATGCAGGCCAATACTCTTTTTTCAGTGAGCAGCATGAAACCATTCTTGTGAAACCATTCGGGCTCCACCACGGAAAGAAAAGTCTGATTAACAATATTATTCCCGGGATTAATTTCTGTTATACCGACGTTTTACTTAAAAAACTGAAATCACGCGCGCGTTTAGAGACAGCCCTCCGATGCTGCAAAAAATACTTGTGCTATCAAGATTTAACCATACTTTTTTAACATGCGTGAACGGCGCAAAGTCGTTATAATGTATATTATGTGTGGTTTATTGTTACTGCGCTTGATTCGAAGTTCTATGCATATGTATTATGTATTATTGTTTAAACCGAACCTTTTATGACACTACATATAAGGCCTTGTACGACACGATCTACTACGAGACTTCGAAGCGTTTGTATTGTTATTGTTGTTGTCTTCTTTTTTTTTAATGCGACACGATCACGATTTCGACCAAGACGAACCATATTGTATGTATTTATGTGGGAGTGCCGGCATATTAGTTGTATGCATTTGTATGATTGTTTAAACCGAACCGCCCTTTTACGACACGATCTACTACGAGACTTTCGAAGTGTTTGTATTGTTATTTATTTTTTGTTTTAATGTGACACGATCCACGACCAAGAAGAACCATATTGTATGTATTTGTGTGGGTGTGCTCGCATATTACTTTTAATGGTCATGTATGTGTGGATGTATATGTGGAATAGGTGGAGTTAGAACAGCTTGGGATATGATCGATTTAGTTCAGCTTTCCGATTTTAAGAAGACCACTTTGTATATCACGTGTAAGAATTTAAAAAAGTGGCTTGGCGGCAGTTATAAAACTTCGTTGTCAATTGTTTCATGTGGCTTGAGAATGAACTGTTGTTCGAAAATTTGTCAAACAATATAGTATTTGCTTTTTATTGCATTTTCAATTAATTATCGAGGAAAAGGTCATTTGAAATTCAAACTACATATATCAAGATGTTCCTCGCTAGAGCGCTTCATACTATTTCTTCATAACACTTTTTTTTATAAATTTAGTCCGAACCTTTTGATGGGAAGGATTCACAAGGACATAGCCACCGCTAAGCGAAGCTTGTTGCGATGACCCTGCCCTCTACCCTCCGATCGCGCAATTCCGATTCTATGGCAGAAGTTAGAGTCCAAAGTTTAACGTGCGCACAAAGCCGCGCACGGCCGGTCCCCTCGCTGACTTCGCCTGGCTACGGCCTGCCACCAACCGCAACCATACCTGTCAGGAGGCCCATAAATGTCGAGCGCCCGTCGCGCCTCGAACCCGGACTGTCATAACCGGGAACGCGTGCTCTCACCACGCGGAGTCCAACGCTCCAGCCAACTGAGCTACGGCACCGGCTGCAATAACAATGCACACAAGCAGCACAATCAGTGCACATAACCGACCGCTCCGCCGCCGCCAGTTGTCGCCGCGCCGCGCCGGTGCGGTCACCCGGCCCAGGTGTCCTCTCTGGCCAGACAGGCGCCGATGAACACGTTGGCGTGTTGATAAGCAGCTGCCACCTTCTCCTGGGTCATGGCAGCAATCGCTTGATCCGCCAGCTCCTCCAGGATGGCGCTCCTCCACGTTCCGATGCCACGGTGTCCTGCCGCCAGAGCCGTGCCGCGATCGTCCAGCGTACGAGTACCCTGCACCTGTCCAAGACGCTGCTTCAGGTCTGCTTTGTAGACAGAGAAACAGTTATCAATGGGGTTCAAGAACGGCGAATACGCATCCACTTTGCCACGATGGACCAGGCGGTCGTCCTCTTTACGCTCAACTGGCGGGCCACAGCGACGTAATCGTTGCCATCACGGTACGCTTGGATGATTCGCTCGCGGTCCGCGGCACAAACGGTATGGCGGCGTCTCGGCATCTTGATACCGAATGACGCAAGCACACTGACCTGGCTTGAGGTCACCTAGCCTACCGGGAACCAGTAGAGGTTCAAGTGTAAATGATAGATGACGCCACGTGGTCAGTTTGCTACTTCAGCATAGTTTATCAATACAAAACAAAACATGTTTCATATTTTCATTGTCCTACAAAAAAATCAAATGCAAATAAAAATCAAATTATCCATTAACGAAATCCATTTTGTATTCCCTAATTCAATCGAGAAGCGACTAAATTTATGGGCCTCCTGACAGGTATGTTTGCGGTTGGTGGCAGGCCGTAGCCAGGCGAAGTCAGCGAGGGGACCGGCCGTGCGCGGCTTTGTGCGCACGTTAAACTTTGGACTCTAAATTCTGCCATAGAATCGGAATTGCGCGATCGGAGGGTAGAGGGCAGGGTCATCGCAACAAGCTTAGCTTAGCGGTGGCTCTGTCCTTGTGAATCCTTCCCATCAAAAGGTTCGGACTAAATTTATATATATAAAAAAATTAAGTGAACTAAGACTAAATCTATTGTCAGTGTCGATATCAAATGCCCTTGTCGATATAGACTGTGACACTGTTCGAAAATGAACAGCGGATAAACTAACGAAATGAAAACTGTCGTACAGTCCAAAGTAAGTCTAACACAATGCTCATTTACCGAACTGGGCCGCCAATAGTTACGGTCAATTGAATCTATGCCGACTCGCAATGAAAAAAGGTGTATTGCAAAAAATTCACAATTATTAATTTTTAAATCACTTTTTCACCACGTATTTGACATCGTACGCACCTGTTGTATCCTCAGCACCCGCTGCTCTGCCGATCTCCGCCGTGACACTCCAGTTCTCTTGCTTGACTCTATATTGTAACGGGACTTGACCACTTCAAGAGACACACCCAGTTCCGCCGCCCAAAACCGACTGGCCGGCGGAACAGACGAAAACACCCGACATCAACCACGCTGCCGACCGCCCGCGGCCTGACCCGGGGCGGCGGACAAGTGACCGGCGACCGCGACCGAAAACGGGACGAACACGTGGACGGGCCCGTATCACAAACGGAGGGGGGTACGGGCCCGTATCACAACAATCCTCCACCTTTAGAACACAAGTCAGCAATCACGACGCGCTGTAACGCGAGGGCGCCCGACGCACGCGCGTGGAACGACGGGTCCCGACAGCACCCCCAGGCGGGACGACAGGTGCTGACCCAGAGGGCACCCCCGGAGGAGCCGGCGCAGCTGCCACCGACTCGGGCAGCAGAGCGGGGTGCACCTCCGATGTAGCTGTCGCCGGAGAGGACGCGTCCTGTGCCGCCGGCGCGCCAGCACAGAGCGCCTCCAGCGCGCTCGGTGCGAGAGCAGAGTGAGCCGGCGTGGTAGTCTCCGGAACAGGCTGTGCCGGGTCGGCCTGACCCGGCACGAGGGACGGCAGCGCGCACACGCGAGGCCGGACGTGGTCCCGGTGGCGCGTGAAGATCCGTCCATCGGCCAGTTGAACGGTGCAGATCTGTCCGCCAGCAGCGGTGACGACGCCTGGCACCCATGGGGCGCCGGGGCCTGGAATCAAACATACATACACAGGATCACCAACCATGAACTGCCGGTCTGTGCAGTGCGAGTCACGCGCGTTCTTCCACGCATGCTGTTTGAGCTCAACAGTTTCACGCAGGCTCGGCTTGCAGACATCTAAGCGGGTACGCAGTGGGCGACCGAACAACAATTCGGCTGGTGACCGACCCGTTGACGAGTGCGGGGACGTACGGTACGACAACAGGAAACGGTGCAGGCGTGTTTGCAGAGAGCCGGTCCTATTCCGAAGCGCATTTTTCACAACTTTGACCATCGCTTCAGCCTGACCATTAGATGATGGGTGCCGGGGAGGGCTGAACAAATGCTTAATGCCATTACCTTTCAAGAAGGCACTAAACTCTGACGACGCGAAGGCAGTGGCGTTGTCCGACACGAGCACCAGTGGCAGGCCGTGGCAGGCGAACGTCTGGCGGAGTCTGTCGATCGTCACTGCCGCCGACGTCGACGTGGTGATGTGCACGTCGACCCACTTGGAGTAGCTGTCGACTATGATCAGCAGCCAGTGACCGCCCTCCATCGGACCCGCGTAGTCTATATGCAGACGCTGCCAGGGCCTGTTGGGAAACAACCACGGTGAGGCGGGCACATTTGGGACGCTCCTGTGAGCTTGACACTGCTGACATGACTTGACTAGCTGTTCAATCTCGCTGTCTAGCCCAGGCCACCACACACAGGCTCGCGACACACGTTTCATAGCCGAGGTGCCCGGGTGACCGTCATGAAGCATCAACATCAGTCTGGCTCTCAGAGAGGGTGGGATGAGCACACGGCAACCCCACATCACGCACCCCGCCTCTAGACTTAACTCACTTCTTCTGCGGAAGTAGTGGGACAGCTCTACATCCGGCGGTGACTCTGGCCAGCCATTCTGAACGTACCGGTAGACGGCTGACAGCACCGGATCGCGGCGGGTGGCGATGGCGAGCTGCTGAGCAGTCACCAGGTGGGACATCTCCTCCATCAGGTTCACGACGTCGGCCGGAACGGGAAACTCTCCATCCGTGTCTGGAAGCGGCAGGCGACTGAGCCCATCCGCGTTGGCGATCTCTCGACCCGGTACAAACTGCAGGTCGAAGTCATACCCAGTCAGCGTGAGCTTCCATCGTAACACCCTGGGCGAGACAACCATTGGCAGACATTTACCAGGTGCTAGCAGGCCCAACAGCGGCTTATGGTCAGTCTTAATCACAAACTTCCGACCATATACATACTGATGATACTTGCTCACCCCGAAGATGATCGCGAGCGCCTCACGGTCGAGCTGGCTGTAGTTGCGCTCGGCTGGCGTCAGACTGCGGCTCGCGAAGGCGATGGGCTGGTCCGCACCAGTCTGCGGATCCGGATGGCTGAGCACGGCGGCTACTCCGTACGGGCTGGCATCTGCCGTGAGGACGAGCGGCTTGTCTTGCTGGTAGTGCACCAGCACTGGAGCGACAGCGAGCAGGTCCTTCGTCTCCTGAAACGAAAACTTTTGCCTTTCTCCCCAAGCCCATTTCACATCTTTCTTCTCTAGCTCGTACATCGGTGCGGCGACAGTAGACAGGCGGGGAAGGAAGCGGCTATAATACTGCACCAGACCCAGGAATGCGCGCAGCTCCTGCAGGGACGCTGGTTCTCGGGCTTCCGAGACGGCACGTACCTTCTCAGCGGACGGTCTGATGCCGGCGGCTGTGATCCGGTGGCCCAGATACTGCACTTCGTCTGCTACCCAGACCGTTTTCTCAGCGTTGATCTTGAGACCAGCGGCGGCGAGACGTCTCAGAACCTCACGGACGTTCGCAAGATGCTCTGCGGGAGTGCGTCCGGTTACGCAGATGTCGTCCAGGTAGATGGCGGTATGCGGAATGCCGGCCAGCAGGTTCTCCATCTCCCTCTGGAACACGGCTACCGCGGACTTGATTCCGAAGACCAGCCGCGTAGCCTGGAACAGACCTTTGTGCGTACTGACCGTGGTGAACTTGCGGCTCTGCTCATCCAATTCGAGCTGCAAGTATGCCTCCTTGAGATCAATTTTGGTAAACTTTGCACCACCAGACAGCACAGCAAACAACTCCTCCACCCGAGGCAACGGATACGTTTCCAGGGCAGAAGCGACATTTACAGTCAGGTCGTAGCTGCCGCACAGCCTGATGGACCCATCCCTCTTCTTAACCGGAACAATGGGCGCGGCCCACTGGGATGTGGTGACAGGTTCGAGGATGCCCAACTTGACTTGCCTTTCTAACTCCTCCTCAATCTGACCTTTCAGAGCCAAAGGTGGTGGGCGGTGCTTGTAGAAGCGCGGCTTGCTGTCGTCCACCTGCAGCGAGACTTGTCTGGGCGTGTACTTGCCGAGACCAGGGCTGAACAGCTCCGGGAACGTCGGCACGAGCTTCCGTAGCTCGTTCTCCAGATCCAGGCCAGGGACTGCAACATAGTCAACACGTGCGGCGCCGCCAAACAGTGCTGGCCAGTCCAGCCTGATCGTGGCCAACCAGTCCCGACCCATCAAGGTAGGACCGTCATTGTCAACAATGATGAGGGGCAGACGGGCTGACTGGTCACGATAGGCGACAACAACTTGAGCTACACCAGCTACAGGGACCTCTTCACCTGTGTAGGTGTACAGACGGCGACGGTAGGGCGCTAGATCTGGGACCGACTGGAGAAACGCTTTCTCAAACACTGCACGGCTCATCATGGAACAGCTGGCACCAGTGTCCAACTCCATTGTTACGGGGCTACCGTTCAGGGACACTTCAACATGCAGTGGTTGAACAGATCCAGATGACCTCACCGTGAACAGAAGATCAGCAGACACCTCTGTGGCGGGAGGGCTGCTACCAGAGACGTAATGGGCGCGGCGCTGGCGCGACGGTCGGCTGGCGGCGGGCTGAGGCTGAGCCGGGCGCTGGCTGCTCTGAGCTGGGCGGTTCTGGCAGGCGACACGCGTGTGACCCGGCCTCTGGCATCTGTAACAGATCTGGTCACGGAACGGGCAGACGTCCTGACCATGACGGCGGCTGAGACAGCGAGAGCAGGACTGGTTTCCTGACTGTGCTGTTCCCTGGAGAGGTCGCGATGCTGGAGACGATGCTGAAGCTGACGGCGCTCGAGACTGTCCTCTCCCTCGGCTTGGCTCGGCTTGACGGGCTCGCTGGGGGCATGCAGCACGCGAATGGCCCACACGGTGACAAGCGAAACATTCTCGTGTGCGATATGGACATGCTGAAGCATCATGAGTCGTGGAGAGACAGCGATGGCACGGCGCGGTCACATACTGTACAGCTGCAGTCGACCGGTTCAAATCCTCTAGCTGAGAGCGAGTGGTTTCAAAGTGACGAGCTATTTCGAGGGCTTGTGCCAGAGTCAAGTCAGGTTTATCAAAAAATTTCCTCTGCAGCTCAGTGGACCTGGCGTGAGCTACAGCACACTGAAGAACAGTTTGCTCCAACAGAACATAGTCAAACTGGCATCTGTCTGCCTGAAGACGGAGACGGGTGACAAATGCCTCGAATGACTCACCGTCTTTTCTGTAGATGTCATGAAGAACAGACCTTTCATACGTCGCGTTGACTCGTGGCTGGTAGTACGCCTGAAGCTTGGCGGTGAGGACTTGGTACTCTGTGGCGGCGTCATCCAGTTCCGGAGGCTGCGGCAATGTGCGAACAACGTCTTGAATTTCAAGTCCGAGAAGGGTGAGAACAGTGGCACTTTTTCTTTGATTAGAAGTAATGCCAGATGCAATCATATAATACTCCACACCGCGCAACCAACGATCAAAATTTTCTCCGGGCTGATATGGTGGCGGCACAGGCAGAGAAGACATGTCGATAAAATTACTCCTGGCTTCAACGGACTTTACTTGAATGGCAGGCAACAGTAAACATCAATACACTGCACTTGCTATAGCAAACTTGATTTATCGACAATCACTTGAGTCAGACCATGCAAAGGCATACAACAATAAAAACAAAATGGGGTATACCACGTCCCTCGTCGCCAATTTGTTGTATCCTCAGCACCCGCTGCTCTGCCGATCTCCGCCGTGACACTCCAGTTCTCTTGCTTGACTCTATATTGTAACGGGACTTGACCACTTCAAGAGACACACCCAGTTCCGCCGCCCAAAACCGACTGGCCGGCGGAACAGACGAAAACACCCGACATCAACCACGCTGCCGACCGCCCGCGGCCTGACCCGGGGCGGCGGACAAGTGACCGGCGACCGCGACCGAAAACGGGACGAACACGTGGACGGGCCCGTATCACAAACGGAGGGGGGTACGGGCCCGTATCACAACAGCACCATAATAGCACCATAAATAGCACCATCGTGTTCCTGAGCTCAAACTGCAACCATAGTGTAATAAATAACAAGTGAAGACACTTCGATTATTTTGTGTAATGCGTTTTCTTCTGCCGGAAGTGCTCTCTCAGAAAATCAACGATATCTGATGACGATTGATGACGTTTTCGTCATTGTAGTGCAAAAGTTTCATCCCTGTAGTGAAAACTTCTAACCCAAGAAACTACTATCCAAGCTTGTAGTTATATAAGTGTTGGTTTTAACAGCTAATTCACTTTTATTTACCACAAAGCACTGAAAATAAATCCCTCTACACGCAACTTGAAACGAAATATCACTTAAACATAATGAGAAGACCAAAAGCCTATTTTTACTACATTTCATTACAAGCTAAAAATGTCTTCTTTATGCCAGAATGGGTATAGCGTATGAACACTGGACAGGCCCCAATGCCTACACAGCTCGCAATACCTAAGAATTCATGCTCTCTTATCAGGCATATCGTTTGGAAGCTGTGTAAATGGCGACGCAGTGTTAAAATGGGCCAAACAGCTATTCATCAACTGGGCATTTCACCGGGCTGAAACGCATCGATATCCCCTGATTTTGCATATTATAATGCAATGAACATAGGAGCAATGAACATGCGATGACTCTCATTCATTTCGCGCAATAAAAAGCATAGGTTCTCAATAGAGATGTCAATCGGATACCAAATTTTTGGTATACCAATACCAAACCGATACCAACTTGGTATTTGGTATTTCAATCTGAATGTTTTTGGTATTTTGTCGGTATTATGAACCCTCACTAATGTATAAGAGGCTGAGAATTCGGTAAAAAGTTGGTATTTCCCTCGTGTTCCCAAGCTGGTTCGGTTTCGGTATTTCCTCACGGTTTTGGTTGGTATTTGGTTTGGTATCGGTATTTTGATTTTCTGTAATTGACATCACTAGTTCTCAAGTCAAAGTGAAGGAAAAGACCGATCAAAATGGCTCTTATAATACAGACTTTGTTTAAATACTCTACACATTTAGGGGCCGGTACTGCTATGGTGTCCTCTATTTTTGAATATTTTCATACCGGTTCTGTCACATTGCATTCAGTTAGCGATCATACATGCAATAAAAACAGTGGGTTCTCGAGAGTAACGTTACGGAATAGAGGGAATGCTGATACGATGTTCAGCATGTTGGAGCGCAGATAGATCGAGTAGGACTTTCATCGGGCTGTGGCACATCGATGTCCTCTGATTTTGAATATTTTCACGCATTTTATAAGAAAATGCGATTATTTTCTTTCATTAAATGCAATAAAAAATATGGGTTCTCGAGTCTATGTCAATCAAAGGGCCGATCAAAATGGGCTATGTTTTAGAGACGTTGTCAAAATACCCTACACTCTTAGGAGCTGGTGGTGTTATGATGTCCTCTGTTTTTGAATATTTTCATTTCGGTTCTGTCATATCGCATTCAGTAAGCGACCATACATGCAATAAAAACAGTGGGTTCTCGAAAGTAACGTTACGGAATAGAGTGAATGCTGATACGATGTTCAGCATGTTGAGGCGCAGTTAGATCGAGTAGGACTTCATCGGGCTGTGGCACATCGATGTCCTCTGATTTTGAATATTTGCACGCATTTTATAAGAACATGCGATTATTTTCTTTCATCAAATGCAATAAAAAACATGGGTTCTCGAGTCTATGTCAATCAAAGGGCCGATCACAATGGGTTATGTTTTAGAGACGTTGACAAAATACCCTACACTTTTTACGATCCGGTGGTGTTACGATGTCCTCTGTTTTTTAATATTTTCATACCGGTTCTGTCACATTGCATTCAGTAAGCGACCATACATGCAATAAAAACAGTGGGTTCTCGAGAGTAACGTTACGGAATAGAGTGAACGCTGATACGATGTTCAGCATGTTGGAGCGCAGTTGAATCGAGTAGGACTTTCATCGGGCTGTGGCACATCGATGTCCTCTGATTTTGAATATTTTCACGCATTTTATAAGAACATGCGATTATTTTCTTTCAACAAATGCAATAAAAAACATTGGTTCTCGAGTCTATGTCAATCAAAGGACCGATCAAAATGGGTTATGTTTTAGAGACGTTGACAAAATACCCTACACTTTTTAGGAGCCGGTGGTGTTACGATGTCCTCTGTTTTTGAATATTTTCATATCGGTTCTGTTACATTGCATTCAGTAAGCGACCATACATGCAATAAAAACAGTGGGTTCTCGAGAGTAACGTTACGGAATAGAGTGAATGCTGATACGATGTTCAACATGTTGGAGCGCACTTAGAGCGAGTAGGACTTTCATCGGGCTGTGGCACATCGATGTCCTCTGATTTTGTGTGTACCAAGGCATTCTGTAAGAAACTGGGATTATTTACCTTCATTTAGTGGAATAAAAAAACGTGGGCTTTCATGTCTAAGTCAATTAAAAAATCCATCATGACGGGGCATGGAAGACGATGATGTAGGCTGAGGATAGCGTTCAATGATTTAGGAAGTGACGTTTTATGACGTTTTATTACGTCATACTGCAGCGTGAGTAGCTACATAGCCCACTCCCGGCTGAAGAAAAGATGTAGCATGAGTTTGCATTATAAATTGGTGAAGTGTCTTCACTTGTTATTTATTACACTATGCTGCAACCAATAGACACCTTTTCTGTTGAAAAATTATAACTTCAAAATTTGACCTTTTTTGACCTGAAAGTGACCTCACCTAAGCTAAATTCGACTCAAAATGACCTCGAATGACACAGACGACATCAAATTCGAAATCTTTGGCCTAAATGGACCATAAAACATGTGTCACGTGACCGACGCATGATATAATATTCTCGTGACCTGTGATGACCTGACCTTGACCTGAAAATCAAAGCACAAGTTTGGTGCCCTCAGGGTATCTAGAGCATCTGTTCACGAGTGTGTGAACCAAAAATGAGCCTGATCTGGCTTGTAAGACGGCGGCCAGAGCCCAAAACGTGAACAAGCCAAAATGCTAATAATTTTTACTTTGACCTGACTTGTGACGTCATCGGTGACCTCGAAGTCAATGAAATTAGGTTTAGTTCGACAGTTTTTCCGGGGCTATCAGACGCCGTTTGAATTTTGACGATCGGCCCAGTAGTTTCGGAGTTATGAGGGGGCTATGAATAGCCCCCCCCCCCCAGTAGGGCGTGTTATACGCAGACCCCAGTGGGGCGCGGGTTAAAGACATCATCTCTGATCAAAACTAACACAATATTCGTGATCAGCACCCCGGAAAACCACATAGCAGCCACACTTTACGACTTTCTAACAGGTCCCGATTTTCCCGGTTTTCGGGTCATCGGGGGACCTGGATTGTCCCCCCATGACCTAGGACCTTAAAATTGGGTATCATCGGCTTCGTCTTGTGACGGGCAACACGCTCGTTTTTTTTCCGCGAAGCTCTAGCTCGATCAGGGGCCAAACGCGAGGTGGGGTCGTACCAACCCCCCCCCCCCTTGTGCCGTCGAAGGACGCAAAATGGCCTGTGCCGGCGAGGGTTAAAGCTCTTTCGCCAACTTCGCCTCAGATATGACTTCTGGTCTATGGCTTGTGTACCACAGAGGCCGAACAGCTAAACGGACGGATTTTCCGAAACATTTGTCATGTTTGTGACAAATGACGGTGACCATCATTTGTCACCTTGTCTCTAAAATGAGCAGAGGTGCTATGGCTACGAAAGTATCAGTACCGTTTTTAGCATATTCGTTCAAAGCAGAGGGCATTCGTGCTTTTTCCCATATCTTATCATGATTGGTGAGGTCACCAAATTTCAGACTTATAGGAGATAATCTATAGGAATGACAAGATTGCAGTTTTTAGAGGCATTAAAACTGCGCTTGACATGACATTGTGACCTGACCTCAGGTGACCTGTGCTTGATTTCTATGCACGATGCAAAAGTGATGTACAATAAGATATACCGCTGCTTTCGTGGCGCTGCGCGCCGATGTTTTTCTCAACACACGAAAAAAAACGGGAGTGTGGCTAAAAACACCCCCACCCATCAAGACGAAGACCGGCAACCCGACCCCTCCCCCCCCCACTCAAAAATCCGTGGCGACGCCCCTGTTCCCGGGCATCAATTTGACACCTGGGGCATTCCACGATAGATCGTACCAGGCCCGTCACCCTCATCTCTCAGATTCTAACCCTCGCCGGCACAGGGGGGGGGGGGGGGTGATGCACCCCCCCTAAGGTTTTTCGCGAATAACTCGCGTAAAAAGCGGCCGATCGCGACGAAATTTTTAGTACCCTCGCATTGATCAATTTTACACCTACCCTGAAAATTTCATGACCCTGACCAAAATGACTTTTGACCTGTGGCCTCTTTTCCGAGACCATGTTTGGCCGGAATCGCGATTCGGCGTATGTCGGCTCGCATTAGCCGCGCGTTTGCAAGCTTTTCGTGGTTTCAAACGTTCAAACATGTGATTTGATGTTGCTCCCATACATAGGGGTGAGTGTCAAGGTCACCTGAAGGTCAGGTCAGGTCATTGACCTTTGGTGACCTCGGGTGACCTCGGCTCACTTTTTCGAGTTTTACATGTTTCTAGGCTAGTTTTTGGAGCTGGATTCGAATTTAGCAGCCATTTGAACATTTACGAAGTAGTTTTAGTGCCTTCGTAACATGTTACGAAGCTGTCAGAGGCGGTTGACACGTATTACGAATACCCGTCACAGCCCCTACCGGTTGACCTGACCTGACCTGACCCGACCTGGTCTAAATGCTTAAAGACATCATCTCTGATCAAAACTAACACGATATTCGTGATCAGCACCCCGGAAAACCACATAGCAGCCACACTTTACGACTTTCTAACCGGTCCCGATTTTCCCGGTTTCGGGTCATTGACCTGACCTGGAAGGTCACCCGATGACCTAGGACCTTAAAATTGGGTATCGTCGGCTTCCTCTCGTGACGGGCAACACGCTCGTTTTTTCCGCGAAGCTCTAGCTCGATCAGGGGCCAAACGCGAGGGGGGTGTCGTACCCCCCCCCCCCCTTGTGCCGTCGAAGGACGCAAAATGGCCTGTGCCGGCGAGGGTTAACCCGCGCCCTGCTGGGGGGGGTGTTTGAACACCCCCCTTGTGGTTTTTCGCGAATATCTCAAAAACGGCGGCGCGGAGCGCCGCCGTTTTTGGTACACCTTATCATACATCAATTCTACACATGTTGTGAAAATTTCAGACCAAGGTCATTCCAGGTCAGGTCA